TTACTGAATTTCAGATGTTGAATAACATTAATTGGTGGAGCAAAGTAGAGCTGTTATTCTACCATATTAAAACGTATTAGATTTATAGGTGCCTTCCAAAGTTAGAGTATAATTAAGTGGTAGACAATAATAGCCATTGAGTTAGTCTTTGAGTATTTTCTAAAGTTAGAAGATAAGTGATATACATTGTATATAGTGGATTCATTAAAGTCCTAAAAATGATTGACTGTGCATTTTTCAAGTGATAATGAGTATTTTTCAGTTTTACTCAATGTACCATTTTCATTCATGCTTTACTCATATTAAGTATAGATAAAATCTATTAATTATTTGGTTCCGTCGATTATAGGATCTTCTACTTGGAATGCCATCATGTAATCGTTGTAGTTGAGCATGGTTGTAGGTGGATCAATGTTCAAAATCCGATTGGATGAGATCTCAATAGATTATCTAATAAATATACAGTGAAAGTTTCCTGTTTTATTAGACTGATGGCTCCTTGTACGAAAACGATGGCCAATACAACCACCAAAAGGATTGTACAAAAGCCTCCAAATGGTGATTAATGAGTTTCTTTTTTCCTAAAATTCAACTTCACTTCTGCTCCAAATGTGTCGAAATAGGAAATTCTTTGTATGAATTTTTATATCATAAATTATTAATTAACGTAAGATGCTAATTATATTGTTAATAATCCCATAAATTGATTAGTGATAGTAATTTATTAATATAATATAAAGCATTTATGAATACTAAATCTGATGATATTATGTCTCACGACATCAGAAATAATGTTGCTGATAAATTCACGACTCCACTGATTTATTTATACTAATACATTCTTCTTTTTTTTCAATATTTATTAATTTAATTTAATTACCTTTCTACACCTTACGTCACTTAATGGCAGATCTCAAGTTAAAAATCAATGCAAGAAGATTCTCTTCCCCATATCGAAGCATAAACAATGACTAGAATATTCAACTCATCTTTCATAATGCACATCGTTCATGCAACAGAAAAAATTCCAATAAATTATCAAGTCATTCTAAATAACATGATTATTCCTAGGACAAAATCAAAAATTAATACTAACTCTAATGCATAATTGGAGTAGGAGGATTTGGAAGAGTGTGGAAAGTCATACACAAATAACAAATCTTTGCAATGAAAGAGATCAATAAAGCATTAGTGCTCTTAAAATAAAGTGTTCCTAGCATTATGACAGAATTAAAATTTTTAACAGAATTACAACATCCTTTCATTGTAAATGCATATTCAGCCTTTTAAGATACTCAAAATCTCTATCTTGTTCTAGATTATTTGAGTGGAGGAGATTTAAGATTTCATTTAGGAAAACAAAGGAAATTTTCAGAAGAATAAACTAGTATTATAAAATAAATTAAATAGAGTTTTTTGTGGCATGCATTATAATTGCTTTAGAATATCTCCATAGTTAAAAAATAATCCATAGAGATATCAAACCAGAGAATCTTATATTTGATAGTCATGGTTATCTACGTATTACTGATCTAGGAGTGGCAATCAAGAAACATGTACAATTTCCTCAAAACTTTGAAACAAGTGGAACTCCTGGTTACATGTCTCCAGAAGTTCTCTTTCGTTAAGATCATGGTATACCTGCTGATTATTTTGCACTTGGTGTTATATGTTATGAATGTATGACAGGTAGACGTCCTTATCATGGTTCTAGAAAAGACATTAGAGAATAAATGCTTCTTAAATAAGTTTAAATAAATACATCAGAATGGTCTAATGAAGCTAATGATTTTATTAATTAGCTTCTATTAATTAAACCATAACTTAGAATGACACAACCTAGGAAACATCCTTGGTTCAAAAATTATCCTTTTGAATTGTTGGCTTCAAAAAAACTTAAAGCTCCTTTTTTACCAATTCGTAAAGACAATTTTGATAAAGCATAAATTCTTATTGAAGATGAAGAGAATCATTAAATAATTAAACTGAATCAACATTTAATAAAAGATAATCAACATTTATTTGAAGAATATAGATGTTAATTAAATGAGAAGTCCAGAAGAAGTAGCATTACAAATAAGATGTTTTAATTATTTTGACTTTTTATCTATCAAACTTTTTTAAATTGAAAATAAATTGAAAAAATTGATGTAAAAAGTAAAAAAAAAAGTATTTTATAATTAAAATTATGTTTTAATCATATATAATTAATCGAAAATTGAAAACAGAGTTCAGTAAAGTCACTCAAACTGTGAGAATAACAAATGAGCTACAAAGGTCATATGAACATAAGAATTATTCTTTTGAATATCCTAGTACCTACGATTAACTTCCTAAAAAACTAAGATGTCAATCAACTTATTCAAAACTATGTGGCTTTAGATCTCATAAATACTAATTATTTCATGATATTATTTCTGAATTTGCAGAACACAAAAAGTAAAGATTAGCTAATGTTATCATATAAAATCTAAGTAATCACTCTTGTATCAAAGATAAACAGAAAAATCTAACCTACCAACCCAAGGTTCAGCTCGTAACATATTCTCAAAGAATGGACCTAATTTAAATCATAATTACAGCTAATTTATGAAAAAAGTCAAAGATTTCAAAATCTCTGAATAGAATGTCGTCACTTAAACTCCATAGTATTCATATATACATATTAATTAAGTTCAATATAAGAAAATATGACACTTACAAGATAACCTTCACTTGAATAGGTCCTTGAAACCAAGTAAACTATTACTTTAAGTTGTTCAAGAAAACAAAGTCCAAAAATGCTGTTCAGTATTACACTACTTAATTTTTAGAACCTTAATAATTTATATTAAAATCAAAGTTCAAAAAAAACAATGCACTTGAGAAAATTTTGACTGAAGCTAGAAATCAAATCAAAACATCATAATCTCCCAGATCTGTACACATAAGTTAACACAAAAAGACTAAATCTCAACCAATTAATGTTTATACTGAACAAAATAAACTCTTATAAAGAGTTATACTAAAAACTAAGCTGAATTAATGATTTATTATTATAATTTCAATAGTGTTTATAGTATAAATTGGAAAATAAAGTATTCTCTTGTTTTCTGTAAACATTTTATTTTTGTAGATTGTAATCATACTGTAAGTGTTGTTGTTTATTTGACTCTTTTAATCTCAACATTTTCGTTTCGAATTCATCATCTAATTATCTTTACTTGTATTCTCGTTCCATTTGTTTAGGACTTGCAATTCTCCTATTGCAATTTGATTCATTTATTAAATCATTGAATACTTATCGCTCAAATGCTCCCAATTGTCTCAAAAACCCATTATTTGGAAAAATAATAGACCTTCTCTATTCAACATATTCTAATGCTTCTCTTGCTCCTATCAATTCTTTTTTTATAAGATAAGCTAAAACAATAACTGCACTTCTAGATATTCCCATTTAGCAATGTACCAATACATTTGTTATTCTCCTAGATGCTTCAATAAATCTAAATGATTCATCAAAGTGTTTGCTTATTTAATAGCTATCTTCATCGTCAGCCATGCATTGATGGTAAAAGTTAAGCTTTATTTTTGTTGATGAGGGGATACTCTAAGGACAAACAGTCAAAATAGCTTTGATTTAATATTGAGATAAAGTGTATGGATCACCTAAATTGATTTTTGAAAACTAATACTTGCAGCTTCCATGTTGCCTAAATAAAGTCCTCCAAGTATTTTTGAAGGTTCAATAATACAAGAAATAGGATCATCTTTTGAACTCTATAACTTTTTAAGTTGACTCATTGAGTAAATAAATTTTATTATTCAATAAAATAAATAAAAATATTCTGTATTTATATTGATGTCTTAAATATCATCTATTAATATTTAAATCTATAAATCTCAATATTGAGTAATTTAAATATTTATGAATATTAGTTGCAATATCTTTGCTGTTAAATCTGAAAATATTATAAATAGGATTTTCTGTATATTGTAATCTCTTCTTTTTTAACATAACATTCTTAAAACAATTAGGTAGAACTAATTAAAAATATATATATAAGAAAGCAAGGAGTATAAAAGATAAGTAGAAATAATCTAGACTTCTAAAATTCAGAGAAGTATTTAGTCTTATAATTATTCTAAATAACAAAATAATATAAAATATTTTGATGGATCGTAATCTATTCATATTATTAGAGAAAAGACGAGCTATAATAGTTAATTGATGAGTAAAATAAAGAGGAGTTTTCAGATGATTAGGATTTAGTGTCTCAAATCGATATTGAAGATTTTGAATCTCGATTGCAAACTAGTCAATCTTTCGTGAGGGAAAAGCCTCTATAACATAATTCAAGAGCTCAATCAGGCATGACTTAAACTGGAAAACAACCATAAAGTTTAAAGGATCTGAATGAGAAAATGTAGTAAAATCTAGCCAAAAAATAAGTTAATCAATAAACAAGAGTCCAAGCAACATAGCGATCATAATAATAATAATAATTTTCACAAACTTAACAAGTTCAGAAAAAGCAGGAGTATTAAAACATTTAAAATAATTAAGTAAGAGGAAATCTATAGAGCCTAAATCAAATAATCCTCGTTAAGTATTGGAATAGGCTCAAAAGGACAATTAGGAATTGTTGTAAAAATTAGGAGCTATGAGGAGGTAACTACAATCATTGGAGGCTGAGAATTCTGAGTTAAAATAAGAAATTTAGAGAAAGGGCAATTTAAGTGGGTTTTTGCCAAAGATAGAATAAGCAGCAAATTCAGAATTGAAATTATTGAAAATGGAAAATGAGGAATTGAAGAGAATCATCTAAAAATAAAATGTACTAAAGTGAAACATTTTGTGTTAGGGCAGTGATTCAGGAAAAATGTTATAAATGTACGGTTTATAGGTAGTGAAATTAAAATGTAGAATAGAGGAGCTAACTTCATAACTAGAGAAATAATGATATCATTAATATTAATAAATATAAAATTAAATAGAATGAGTATAAAAGTTATAAATTATGAGGTTGAAAATATGGGATGGTTATTTAAATAGTAGGAAAATTAACTAAATATAGAACAAAGAAGAAGTAATAGTGGTCATTATGTTTGATGATAGTAAACACATTTTGGAATTAGAATTCCGGTGGGAAGAGAAAATTAGTTTTAGATCGAAAAGTACTTTATGAAAACATGTAATTATAACTATATTTTTAGAATAATCACTTCCTCCTTTTAGTATCCTTTTAACTCTTGAAGGATTTAGATTAAATGTGATTTAATACAGGGATACATATGAATTGAAAATTATTAATAAGGATTTCTCTCATATATTTAACAAAAATAACTTAATTTGTTAATTTCAAGTGATAAAACAAGAGTGGCTTTCAAGAATGACCAAAATGAACCAAAAATAATTGTTTTATGCAACCTTCAGACAATAATCCTGTTTTAAACAATAACTTTCAAAAAAATCCAGAGTCGAATATTGATCAAAATCTAAAATTAAAAAAATAAACTTCAATATCTATTTGAGAACTACAAAGATATCAATCGCTTTTATTAAAAACAACCTATTGCATAATAGATGAAGTAAAAAAATAATTTATTTTGGATCATCTTCAACATTTGGATAGCGGAGTATTGAAGAATTTGAATCGTTTTGTAAAGGATAAATGAATATGAATCAATTTTAAAAATTCCTTTTAGGTTTAAGGATTTTCTTCACTTATGATCACATAAACAGTTTAACAATAACATAATATATTACTAAAATTAAATAGAAATTGACTTATTAAACTTAGATGATGATATGCCGTAATAATAATAAAAAAACCTAGATGAAAATCCAGAATAATATCAAAATTCTTAATAAACTTAATAAAAAATCTACTTGAAGATTTTGCTCGTGGTTGGAATCAATAAGAGCCATAATTTTGCTAACAAAACTTATTTTAAAAATCAAATCAAATTTAATAGCAATTAAAGTACTTAATATTAATAATTCAATTATAGTTCGTTTAATTTAGATGGACAATTAGGAAAAATTGGATAAAGACTTTTCTTAACGATAATAAAATATAAACATCATAACCAGTTGTTGGAAATTTGGCTTATTTAACATTTCCTTAAATACATACTTAACCAATTCCTTAATCATAACTAACTCCTTATGATTTATTCAGATATATTTTAAATTATTTTATTTATTCAAATTTAAAAAATGGAATTGTTAAATTATGCTGCCACTATAATTCAAAAAACATTCAGAGGTTTTCTTGCTAGATAAGCTGTAAAATAAATAAGAAGAATAAACTATTTTTCGTCATTTGGTATTGAAATTAAATGATTTAGACCATCATAATGAATATGGGTTTTGCATTTAGCCCTAAAGATCAAAATAATCTACTCGTAATACTCAATCACTGATTTAACCAACTAAAAGAATGATCAGAAGTAGTGTCTACATTTAAAAATGCTATCGAGGGTATTTAAGTAGAAAATACGTTTGCAATTTTTACAAATTGAAATAGATTGTGTTATTTTTAGAAGGACACATTCATAATTTCTTGAGGAAAGTAAAATGATTCTGATATTAGAGAATTTAATAAAGGAAAATCAATATAAAATAATTGATGGCATAATGTTACAATTTTCAAACTCAATGTAAATCTATAGCAAAAGGCAGATACCATTACAGTAAGTATATGAATCAGAAACAATTTGATGAAATAAATGGCATCATTTTTACATCCTTTTTGCATTTAATGATACCTAATTTTGAAAAACTTAATTCTGAATAGAAATCCCATTTTGTAGATCAAATCTTAGGAGTTGTTTAATCAAATCCCCCTAAAAAAACAATGCCAACTCAGATAAGTTCTAAGACTCCGTTGAAGTAGAGACATATAATTTAGAATGTTAGTGTTTTGTCTTCTGAGGTAATGACTAGTAATGGCAGTTGCACTTCTAGTCATAAATCAAAATCAAATCTAACAAATGAAGAATTTAAATCAATTTTATAACGATAGAATAAAAAAATCAAATGATATAATATTTTATATAATTTTTGCTGACTCATTTAAATTTATTGAATACATATAGAATAAATTTTGATTGAAATTAGTAATGATAAAGATATCATCATTAATCATTCTAAATAGATAAATTCTGCTCTACAGAAAGGGCAAATTGATTAGTATTGGATCCAGTTTTGAATGCAATACTGATGGAAGAAATGTTTAGAATTACAAGGTAGGATGTATACAATTTCACCTTTTTAATACTCATTGAGGCAAATAGCACATTGGGAACTTGATTGATCGAAGGAACTTGGATTATATGGCTTAATGTGTTTTTTTCTTCTGCAATAAGTTAGAATGGATTTTGGAATTTAGTAAAATGGAAAGGTGATTAATGCAATGAGATCAAAGCCTGTGATGAAGGATGTTATAGCGATCAATGTCAAATATTGCCATTAATAAATGTGGTTATTATCGAAGTAAAATATTGTTAATACAATGGCTGCCAACCAAAAAAACATGGGGATGAAAAAGAAATAGTTTGAATACATCTAAAATAGTATAATTTATTTACATGAATTCGAAAAAAGTACCCTAATTTGAATTGTATTTGGAAATCAATCTAGTAAATTGTATACCTGTAATCTCTATTTAGGGGAAATAATTTTACAATAATGCATATCAACTTCATCACGCCATTCATAATTTACAAGCTGTTATTAGTTTAAATATTCAGCACACTTATTTAAGTTATTCTATAGGTTGAAATATAAAAATACTTTGTTTTTCATAGCCCATCTCCATCGTAAATACACTATAATTTAAATAAGGTTTTATGCAGCCACAATAATGGGCACATAATCTTCTTTGATTTGATAATTGTTCTCTGAGATATAACAAACTCCAAGTAAGGTCGAGAGGATCAAAAAAAAGAATTAGAAGAATGTCCATCTTTTCCAATACAAGATGTGTCGCTGGAAATGCAAAGTTGTTCCTACATGCTGTCCTTATTCAGGAACTAATGGTTGATTCATTACAAATTATAATTAATAGTTTCTTAAATTTACAACATCAAATTAGAATAAGTTTAATTAAATGTTAACAATTATTTAATATATAAAAGTTCTTAGACTCACTTCTTCTTTCCAACAGTCTTAGCTAACCAATCCAAACCATCATATAATCCATCTCCGGTCAATGCACAGGTACCTTGAATGAACCATTCTCTTCTAAGTGTGTGTAAGCCCAATTTCTCAGTGATTTCTGGGACTGTCATAACACCCATATCTTGTTTATTGGCAAAGACCAACAAGACAGCATCTCTGAGTTCATCTTCACCCAACATTCTCATCAATTCTTCTCTTGCAACATCTACTCTCTCTTTATCAGATGAATCAACAACGAAAATTAGACCTTATGTATTTTGATAGTAATGTCTCCATAAGAGTCTGATTTTATCTTAACCTCCAACATCCCACACTGTGAATTTAATATTCTTGTATTCCACAGTCTCCACATTGAAACCAATTGTTGGGACTGAGCTCACAACTTCTCCCAATTTCAATTTGTACAATATTGTTGTTTTACCTGCTGCATCCAAACCCAACATTAGAATTCTCATTTCCTTCTTTCCGAACCATTGTTCGAACAATTTAGAGAATGAAAGACCCATTTATTTCTTAAGTTAATAATACAATCATTAAGAAGGAATCAAAATTTAAATTTGCAAATTTTCCTTGTCAGAAAAAATCACAAATCACTATTTATAGAATTTAATTTATAAGTATTTCTATTGAATTAATTTAAAACAATAGAATAATAATTCGTAAATAAATATAAATAATTTTATATTCATTGTATATGATTTTATAATGTTTAAAGTGCAAAAATTGAATGAAATTTACAAAAAGGACGTATAAGAAGTTAGAATTAAATATTCATAAAGATCTTGGATTTCTATTTTTCAAGATATGGTTAGTCAATATGATGTGATGTTAATCAGTAACAGTAACACATTTATGTACTAAATAATATTGGTTGAATAGAGCAACTTTATGAAGTAGAAAATTTTGATAATCTGCATGTTTTTAAGAGACTTAGGTTAATTCAGGATGAGAGATTGAGATAAATATTAAATTTGATACATGATAACACGAAGTAGATGCTCTAATAGACAAAACCTATGAAATTCTTTTTAGGTTCAAATTTTATTGAGAAATTTGTTGTTAGGTATATGGCCCTTCGATTTAGTTTATAGAATTATTATTATAAAAATTTAGCTAAGTTTTATGATTAATTTTAGAATATATGAATATTTTGAGTAAAGTTTGATATAATTATTTTAATTGGATATCAGTTCAAACTATATTTTTACATTCATCCACAATGCTATTTACAAGAGCGATAATGAAATTGAATTCTTCAGAATTTTTATTATAATTTTATTTTATTTAAAATAGTAAGATATGACTAATAAATAACTAATGTGACTTGTACAGCAATTTTTATCCTTTTAAATTGGTGCTGATCTAAAATTTTTAATCTTCGTTGTTTGGTCATTAATGGGAACAGAGCGTCAACTCTATATTTGGGTAAAGTAGCATTCATCATCAATAACGAAAGTGCTAGAATATACTTTGAAGTAAGTGAAAAATTTAATATTTAAACACTACTTCATGGTTGATTTAAATGTTGGGAGAAATGAACGAATGCAATTAATAAAATAATTTTACAACTACAATAAAGATTTAAATCATCTTATAAATATATTAGTAGAATAATAAATTATAATGATGATGCGTCTAAATGATGAATCTTTTAAAAGCTCTGCCTTATTTATTTAGGTTCTTGTTTTTATTTCGATACTCAAACACAATTATCTCATTAATAATGCTAATTAACAAAGATTTGAGAAGAATAACCTTTATTTTTAAGACAAAGTTAGTATATTTGATAAAAGAGAAAGAAATGTAGTTTGCTATGAATCCAAGATCTTTCCTACTATTAATTTTTTATGCACAATTTCTATGTATTCTTGGGCTAATTCGATAAAGATAATGGATTGCAATATCCTAAAAAAGACTTTCTATATCATTCATCCTGTTAATCAATACTATAAGAACAAGGGTAATGAAAATTCTCTCTTAATTTGAATTAATCCCAAAAAAATTGTATGGCGATTGACAATAGATTTCTCTAATATCCACATTTTCATTAGGATAGTATTATAATGAACAAAGTATAAAGCACTATTGTCTATTCATTAAGGATTATTGAGAAAGAATCACTTTATAAGTTGATAATTGGCCTCTCAGGTTTTTATTTTGGATTTCTTTTCTAAAGCAGAAGATCCCATTTTTAACTTAGTTATTTCAAATTTGTTGAATAAAACTTATTCAAAGGTTGAGTTAAAAGAATTCTCTGTATAATTACTCAATTGTTTTTTTATTAATTCAATATGATGAGGGAAGTAAATTTTAGTATTCAGTTTGATGGTTCAAGACATTAAGAAAATCTTAACCACATACAGTAACGGGTAATTTTGCATGAGTTCATTAGAATTCATCAGAGAATTAGGATTAAATTTCATCCTTTAGATTACTAAATGATTATAAATATATTAATATAAAATGTTGGATGACTAAATACCAGAAGAACTCTTTAACGAGTAAATTAGTATCGCCCCTTCTTTGTATACCCATAGTTCCATAATTTAAGATATACAAAACAAGATGATTCAATCAAGTTCTAAAATCCAAAATGATCCAGTCATTCTTAAGGCTTCATTGACAAATGATATATTTAAGGAAGATTAATTGGACATTTCCTAATTCGACCCAAATAATCCTAAATATAAAAGCAAACCACATGAGGTCCATTTTCATGTAAATTCCTTTATAAAATATACTCTATTCACTCTAATATACACATTAATTGGACCTTTGGTTATACCAATTTTTATTTGGACCCATAAGCAATTACTTTAAAACTTTCAATTATTGGGATTTCACTGGGCATGTCTATTTACCTATCTTCGATATTTTTTAGACTTGGCTTTAGCAATTGGTTTTATTTATCATCCCATGAATTAATTTTAGCTCCAATGTATTAATTCTTATTTTATTTTCAATAGTGCTCCTTTATTATGTAATCCAAATTTTTTCAGAATTAGTTCTTTAAAACTTGATGTTGGCCTTTTACCATCCTTAGAAGATAGAATTGTTAGAAAAATTTCCAATTGAACTTATACTGAATAAATTTGAAAATCAAATTAATCCATTTCGATGGGGCTAATAAAGTCCAGAATTAATTTAATTTGAGTTGGAGCAATCTATAAGAAGGTTGCATATTGAACCTGGTTTATTCGTTTTCTTCTTTATAGTTTAACCAAATGAAAAAAGAAGGGAAAAGATTTCTCATAAATTTGAAAACTTGAAAGTGGAAGGGAAGTATGCTGGAAACGGTATCAAAATGGCAATTGAAATTATCCAATATTACAATGAATAGTCCCCCTTATATATTTACATTATAGTTGCTTGTGCTTTGACTATCATTAGATTATGCATCACAGTGACATATTCATTTTTTTAAAAAGCAGCTTCAATATAGATTGCAATGTTTGTTGCAATCACTGTTCTAAACACAGTTGGATACTTTATAGTAATTACAATCATTTTGATAACTTTCCGAGATTTACAAAGGAAGGTGTTTTGCTTGAATTAACTCTCACATTTGATTTCTGCTTAACAAGTTGAAGAATATGATGAAACCAAAATATTCCCTACATTAAATTTCTTATGCGTGCAATCCTTATTTTCATGGTAGAATTTAAGAAAGGTGATCCTAGATTATGGTTTATAGTACTATCAAAGAGAAAATGCAATCATTTCATTTTGCTTAGAAATCATTTTGGTTTTAGTTCTATTTGCTCTTCTTAATATGTTCGATGTGATAAGTTGCTACTCCTTAAGTGACGCCAGTAAAATTTCATTGTTCATATTGATTAGCTTTGATGTACTTACTATTAT